AAGAATAATGACCCGGAAGCATCTCCAGGGAATCCCAAACACCGTGGAGTTTTTCATTTCGAACGTAAAATCGAAACTGCTGAATATTATTCCAACTATGCGGATAATGGATCTCGGTCAAAGCCACTTCCCATTCGCCTGTGAGGTTTAGGGTTTGTGGTAAACTAACTCGGTACTCTGTTAATGTGTTATGAGGAAATTTATCAAGACTGCTATTGCTAGGGAGATGCAAATAAAACTGTGTTACCTCTATCGTACCCTGTGTTGAAATGAACTTTTTAATCTGGGTATTCTTAATTTATAAGAAACCGCACACCATTCATTTTATTATTTCCTTTTCTATTATTCACTAAATAAAAAACGCATAAATTACAACTTCAAAATATCACTTTCCTGAACCCAGGAATCAAATTTTGGGTCTTCGTATCCTTTCCATCTCACAAGATACTCTACTACTCCTTTACGCTTTCTCTTCCGCAAAATCTTTTCGACGCGGTACACATCATCGTTCTTAATAATTTCTGCAATTCAGGCTTATAAAATGTTCCATCTAAGATTTCACCTGCATCATCTTTTAGTTTATAAACGGGTACTTGACGAGTCATTCGCTTGTAAACAGTAAAAATTTCTTCCGTAAAATTAGGTAAGTATGATTTTTCAAACATTCTCTTTACTTTGCTAATCCTGACGCGATCTCCCACTTGAAATTTAAATCGCACAGGCTTTTGAACATCATCCCCAAACAAAGTATCCCACACTTGAGCTTCATTCGTTTTAGTCACCTGAATCGGTTTCATTTTAATACTTCGGTGGTAGGTGTTATTGTAAGAAGATACTAACTGGGGTAATACATTGATATAGTTGAGAGTGTTTTTGGCCGTGAAATATTTATACATCTTATTCTTAAATGTTCGGTTAAAACGCTCAACCACTGAGGCTTTGAGCCCAGAGTTAACAGTAAAAAAGTCAATGTTGCTGTCACGTAGAAATTTCTGGAACACACGATTTAGGAACTCTGTTCCCTGATCCGTCTGCAGTTTGGTAGGTTTTCGACCAGTAGAAAGGATCTTTTGAAAGGCTTTGACCAGTTCTTGACCTTGTTTTGTGTTCAAAGGTAACACAAAAGCGTACTTGCTGAAGATATCTATACAAGTCAGTAAGTATTTATAACCCTTGTTGTAGCGACTGAGATTTTGAAGATCGACCAAATCCGCTTGAAATTGGGCATCTATTCCAGGACCGATGACTCGGCTTCTCTTGTA